GAGGTGAGCGCGGGCCCAGCCGCGGGGCACGGGCATGCCTCAGACACGGGGCGCCGTGTACATCGACGCGCGATTGCGGAGCGGCGTCGGACCCAGAACAGCGTTGGGGGTGCAGAAACGCGGAGCCAGAGCAGCGTTGGGGAGAGCGGCATTACTGGCGAGCCACGCCAGGGTCTTGCCTTCTTCACGCAGGTGTTCCATTCGGGGGGTTTGGTCACCCCAAGGTCGTTCTGCACCCCCGGAGCACCGTTGCACTTTCTGGGGTCGGGGGACGGGGTATGGGTTGGGGGAATGGGTGGGAGGATGGGGCCGTCGCGCGCCGTGTTCGCAGGTGGAGCGCGCGCGCGCGCGGAGGAGCGGGCCGCCCGCGTGCGCTTCGCGCCGCGGCGGGGCGCGTGCGATTCGCGGCGCGCGAAAGTTGCCAGGGGCCGCGCAGGGCGCGGCGCGGGGAATAGGCTGTCGGTGATTATGCGTTGACTTTAGGCTCGGGGAGGCTCGGGTCAGGGAACCATAATCATGACAGAAGGGGACGCCCGCGCGCGCTCGCAGGGACTGCGCGCATCAGAGCGCGCAATTGGATCGTGCGAGCAAAGCGCGTTGGCGACAGCGGTTGCTGTTGGTTTGTTTCCCACCCACCACACCCTGGGCCCCGGTGGGGTTACCGGGGAGAATTTGGGATGGGCGCCGGCGTGGACTTCGCCGTGCAAGAGGCGATGCGCACCGGCTGCGAGGGGTCCTGCCTCGGGTCGGCCGAACGTGTGCGTCGCAGGTGCGAGAACGCCGCGCAGGTCAGCGCGTGCGGGGAGGGGGCCTTCCTTCCCTGGTGGCCGCTGGCAGCGGTCGCATCACCAGGTGTAACGTCTGACAGGTGCGCGACATGTTTTGCGCGCGCGAACACGCCCGCCGTATCCCGACCCCCGGCGGGGTGCTCGGGTCGGCGAGGGCGGCGCCGGACGCCGGCAGTGTTCGCTTTCCCCGTGGGGAGAGCGGCATTACTGGCGAGCCACGCCAGGGTCTTGCCTTCTTCACGCAGGCGTTCCATTCGGGGGGTTTGGTCACCCCAAGGTCGTTCTGCACCCCCGGAGCACCGTTGCACTTTCTGGGGTCGGGGGGCGGGGTACGGGTTGGGGGAATGGGTGGGAGGATGGGGCCGTCGCGCGCCGTGTTCGCAGGTGGAGCGCGCGCGCGCGGAGGAGCGGGCCGCCCGCGTGCGCTTCGCGCCGCGGCGGGGCGCGTGCGATTCGCGGCGCGCGAAAGTTGCCAGGGGCCGCGCAGGGCGCGGCGCGGGGAATAGGCTGTCGGTGATTATGGAAAAGCACCTCCGACAGCAGATCCAGGGTATCGAGAATGACGCCTACCTCGTCCGCATGAGGCTCCTGAGATCCACCTTAGAGGCCCTAGAGTTCGAGAAGGCTCAGATTCGTGAGTTGCCAGCTGGAAGCCGACAGCCTAGGAGAGTGAAAGCTCAGCCTGTCCGCCCTCCCGCCCCCTCCCTGTGTGCTGTCTTCAGGTCTCATCACCAATTAGATGACACTGGTAGACAATGTAATATATGTAAGGGGTCAGCCACAGCTAGCACCCGTGTTGAATGGTATGATTCAGTGTGTTTCAATCTGGAAAATGTTGATGGCACTTATATGAGACCCCCCCTGGGCAAGCAGGTTCATGTAGCAGGGGGTGGATTCATTTAACCCATCATCCGAGGTTCCACGCTGGGCTGGGGATTTGGTTCTGCTCCACATGCGGGAGCTACGTCTCCCAGCAGATTGGGAAGCTAGCAACGATGTGTCAACCCCCCTCGGCCACAGGGCGCGAGTATCTTAGACGTATCAATTCAGGTCTCTGGCCTAAGGCTCTCAGTAAAGCTGAGCAAGCTCAGAGGAGCAAACACCTACAGTAGGTGCAGCGGGATTTTCTTTCCAATACATCGCTACGCGATCAGGCAGATACTCCAGATACTCCTCCTCCTCCTCCCCCTCCTCCTCCTCCCCCTCCTCCTCCTCCCCCTCCCCCTCCCCCTCCCCCTTCCCCTCCCCCTCCTCCTCCCCCTCCTCCTCCCTTCTGCTCGCCGCCGAGGGCAGGCCTCGGGCCGCGGACGCAGAGGGCGAGGGGCACAGCACCGGGGGCCCTCGCGGGGCCGTCGTGCACGGCCTCGGCGCGTCGCCGGGGGCGCCCTCGGCGGCGGCCGCCGCGCGCGGCCGTCGCGGTCGTGGCTGCGTGTTTCTCGGGGGTGGACAGAACCCCCAACAGTGACACGTCGATTAGTGAATTGTCCGTTTTCGGTTCTCGAGAGGGCGCCGTGGCCGTTATTTTCCAGGCTTGCGCCCGCCAGGTTTGGGCCTCAGGTCGTTTTCACTAAACCACGTTTTACTAAAGGGGGTTCTGTCCATCCCCGTGTTTCGCGCAGGGCGTCGACTCCAGAATGAAGTTGTAAGCCTGGGATCTTCGACGAAAAATTGAAAAACACCCCCAAAACTAGTCAAGCAATGGTTCAAACATCGTCTGGGGACTATTCTGACGTAGTTTTTGACCTTATGGGGGTATTGCTGGGTTTTCATTATTATTATTATTATTATTATTTCTCGTCGAGAATCCCCCTGTAAGGGGACACGCCCGACATATAATGAAGTCGAGCCTGTCCCTCTACAGGGGGCATATCAGATTCAAAAGCAGTCAAGAAATAGTCTGGGCACCATCTTTCTTCGACGGTTTTTGACCATTTTGGGGTATTGGTGTGACTATTTTTTTGTTTTTCCGTTCAAAATCCCCTTGTAGGAGGACAGGCCCGACTTGACTCCAGAATCGATTTGCCCCAACATTGCCGTGGCGCCAACATCGCAGAGTGGATCTCGTTCGGAAAACTGTAGGATGGGCCCGGAGTGTGCTGGAGAGTTCCGTTCCGGATTTCGAAGTGGTTTTCGTTCGGATGTCTTTGGCCATGAATCGACATCGAAACCAACCCACGTGAAATTCGCGTCGTTCTTCGTTCGCCGTTTTGGGGTTTTGCACTGACAGGAATCCACACAAAAATCCGCTGCAGCACGTTTGCAAGGTCGGTGCAGTGAAAATTGAATTCTTTGTCGAGTCCACGAGAACGGGGTCTGGAGTGCCTGCACATCTGCGAACATGATACGTCTCTCTCTTGATAGACTCGACGCGCCAGGTTAATCTTGGGGTGCATCGGTTCTGCAGTTGCTTCCCCACTCGAGTGCTGCTGTCCCCCCCCTTCCACCTCTGCGCTGCATTTTGCCGGTCCGTAGGCCTCGTGGCCTGCCGCAGCCGCCTCGCCTCCCTCGCCTCCGCCTCCCTCGCCGCGATGCTGCTCCCAGCCGGCGTCCCCTCCCGGGGAGGGTGGAGGGGAAGGGGGGTGTTGGTGGTGGTGGTGGTGGTGGTGACGGTGATGCTGCTGATGGTGGTGGGGGTGGTGATGGTGAAGGTGATGGTGATGGTGATGGTGATCATGATCATGATGATGAGGATGCTGATGATGCTGATGACGAAGACGATGACGATGAGGACGATGGGGAGGATGGGGAGGATGAGGATGAGGATGATGGTGCTGATGCTGCTGATGATGATGAGGTTGGTTATGGTGCTGATGATGGCGATGTTGATGGTGGCGATGATGATGCAGATGATGATGATGGTGATGCTGCTGGTGATGATGACGACGACCATGGCGATGACCATGGCGATGACCATGACGATGACGACGACGTCGACGAGAACGACGACGACGATCGCGACGACGAAGACCAGGATAAGGAGAACAGGGACTGATGATACCGATGACGATGAGGACAATAGCGATAATGTGATGATGATGCGTATCATGATGCTGATGATGATCATAATGTTGATGATGATGATGATGATGATGACGATGATGATGATGATGATGATGATGATGATGATGATGATGATGGTGATTACGATGCTGATGATGATGAGGCCGTCGAGCAGGATGACGATGCGTATGATGGTGATGAGGTTGCTGCTGATGAGGATGAGGATGATGACGAGGCTGCTTAGCAGGATGGGGATTGTGATGGTAACGAAGTTGATGGTGCTGATGGCGATGGTGAGGGTGATGCTGCTGATGGTGTTGATGAGAAAAAGCCCATGCTGACACTTATGATGATGTTTATGATGCTGAGGCTGCTGCTGATGATGCTGATGATGCGGTTGATGATGATGATGATGATGATGATGATGATGATGATGATGATGATGCTGATAAAGATGATGATGATGATGATGATGATGATGATGATGATGATGAGGAGGATGAGGATGAGGATGAGGATGAGGATGATGATGATGACAGTTACGATGACGATGTTGATGGTGATGTTGATGATGTTGCCGTTGATGGTCGTGATGCTGAGGTTGGTGCTGTTGATGCTGCTGTTGATGTCGTTGAGGATGTTGATGCTGATGATGATGCTGATGATGATGCTGATGCTGATTGTGAAGGTGATGGTGATGGTGATGATGCTGATACTGTGTTTGGTGTCGACGATGATGATGCTGCTGCTGCTAACGATGATGACGATGATGATTGTGACGATGCTGCTGATGTTGATAATGGTGTCGATGGTTATGATGAGGCTGATGCTGATGATGATGGTGCTGCTGATGATGATGCGGATGGTGATGATGACGATGAGGCTGGTGCTGTTGTTGATGATTGTGATGATGATCATGATGATGAATCTTGTAATGCGGAGGAGGAGAGGATGAGGATGACGGTGATGGTGGCGATGCCGATGCTTTTGGTGATGGTGCCGTTGGTGATGCTGGGGATGGTGGGGAGGCTGGTTATGGAGATGGTGGTGATGAGGCGGAGAACGGTGGATGAGAAGGCAGGCGGCGGGAAGGGAAGGGTATGCGAACTGGCGATGCGGCTTGGAGGCGGGTGGGGGGGAGGGGAGGCGAGAGAGAGTGAGAGAGAGAGAGGAGGCAGGCGGGAGGTGGTGGAGCTGCTGCCCCCCCCCCAGGTCTGGGGGCCGCGGAACGAGAAGCCTCTCGTCCTGGTGCTCTCCCACTGGGGCTTCGACCGGCCGCGGCCGCTGCCGCCCAACCTGCTGCTGGTCGGCCCCGTGGAGAACTATCCCTGAGGCTGGCGCCAGACTGGGGTGCGCTGAACGAGCAGGGAGACGGGGAGGAGGAGGATGCTAAGCAGGAGGAGGAGGGGCGGGGGAGGAGGAGGAGGATGCTGAGCAGGAGGAGGAGGGGCGGGGGGGGGAGGAGGAGGAGGAGGCGCAGGAGGAGATGGAGGAGGAGGTGGAGGAGGAGGAGGAGGAGGAGGAGGAGGAGGATCCAGAGCACTAGGAGGTGGAGGAGGGAGGAGGGAGGAGGAGGGAGAGGACGGGAGGAGGACGAGGAGAGAGGGAGGACGGGAGGAGCAGGATAATAAGGAGGAGAGAGAAGGAGGAGGAGTTGGAGGGAGAAGGAATGGAAGGAGGAGTGATGGGGAGGCGCGGTCAGAGGGAGAAGGAGTGGGAGCGGGAGGAGCGGAAGGCGATGGGGAGGCGGGGGAGGAGGTGAAGGACGGCGCGCGGAGGCAGAGGTACGGTATGGTAGAGGGAGGAGGAGGAAGATGAGGAATAGGAGGAGGAGGAGAATGAGGAGGAGGAGGAGGAGGAGGAGGAGGAGGAGGAGGAGGAGGAAGGTGAGACAGGAGAAGAAGGAGGAGGAGGAGGAGGAGGAGGAGGACGAGAAGGAGGAGGAGGATGGAGGAGGAGGAGGAGGAGGAGGAGGAGGAGGAAGCGAAGGATGATGTTGACGATGATGATGAGGAGGAGGAAGACCAGGAGTGAGCAGGAGGAGGAGGATCGAAGAACAGACAGCCGCATAAACATACGTCGTCGACGGACCAGGCTTGTGATCGTTTTTTTTTTGTATTCGTTGTTTTGCCGAGCGCGGGCCCTTGCCACCCCCCCTCCCCCCTTCTCATGGAGTAGACCTTGGCTGTTTTTGGGGCGCCTGTTTCGAGCGGGCGGAGTCTCCCCCCAGAGGCCGCACTGCTGCAAAGAGTCGCATTAAGCAGAGGTCTGGAGCCAGACCCCCTCCCCTCCCCCCCTTCCGCCCGATGTCGAAACGCCGAATACGAAACACGCTCGCCTTATCTCTTGGATCGGCGCTGGACGCCAACGGCGGCGCCGCTAGCGCCGCCCCTGGTGCGATCTTCGCGCGAGGGTGGAGGTTGCAAGCTTGGTCCAAGAACTCCGCGCGCGCGTGGTTCCGAATTTTTATCGAAGACGCCTACGGCGAATCACCGCCGCCCCTTGCCTTTGTGGAAGCGCCTATGTGGCCGAACGTTGAGGCCAGACTTGCCAAGCTATCGGACCATGTGCTCCCCGAAACGGTTTGGAAAGCCTTCGGGGAACACGTGGGCATCTCGAAGGACATCTTGGCCGCCTGGCGGCCATTTGAACTCTTTCGGGCCTTCTTGGAGGACGTCTTGGAGGGCTCGTGGGAGCGTCTTGGAGGCCATCTTGAGCGTCTTGGAGGCCTCTTGGGGCCGTCGTGGGCGCCTCTTGGGCCTTTTCTGAGCCATCTTGGAGGCCTCTTGGGCGATCGTTGGGCGATCTTTGGGGGCACTTGGGCAGTATCGGGCCGTCGGAAGGACGAAACGAAGCAAATGCCAAAATCTGCCAAACACCTTAAGACAATCACTCTTTTTCCCAACCCTCCTTGGTTGGGTATTCGTTTTGAATAGGGGGGTGTGGTCGCGTCCCTCCTCCTTCTCCTCCCGCCTCCCGCTTCCTCCTGCCCTCTCTTCGCCGACGATGGGGGCTGCGATCTGCGAAACTGTCGCCACTTCCGAGGGCTGCTGGTGGGTCCTGCGGAGCGAGGCACCGCGCGGATCTGAGCGAGACCTCGGCGTCTCTGGGGGGCTGCGATCTGCGAAATTGTCGCCACTTTCGAGGGCTGCTGGTGGGTCCTGCGAAGTGAGGCACCGCGCGGATCTGAGCAAGACCTCGCCGTCCCTGGGAGGCTGCGATCTGCGAAACTGTCGCCACTTTCGAGGGCTGCTGGTGGGTCCTGCGGAGTGAGGCACCGCGCGGATCTGAGCGAGACCTCGGCGTCCCTGGGGGGCTGCGCTCTGCGAAATTGTCGCCCTTTTCGAGGGATGCCGGTGTGTCCTGCGGAGTGAGGCACCGCGCGGATCTGAGCGAGACCTCGCCGTCCCTGGGGGGCTGCGATCTGCCAAATTGTCGCCACTTTCGAGGGCTGCTGGTGGGTCCTGCGAAGTGAGGCACCGCGCGGATCTGAGCAAGACCTCGCCGTGCCTGGGGGGCTGCGATCTGCGAAACAGTCGCCACTTTCGAGGGCTGCCGGTGGGTCCTGCGGAGTGAGGCACCGCGCGGATCGAAGCGAGACCTCGCCGTCCCTGGGGGGGCTTCGATCTGCGAAGCTGTCGCCACTTTCGAGGGCTGCTTGGGGGTCCTGCGGAGTGAGGCACCGCGCGGATCTGAGCGAGACCTCGCCGTCCCTGGGGGGCTGCGGGGGCTTCGATCTGTGAAACTGTCGCCACTTTCGATGGCTGTTGGTGGGTCCTGCGGAGTGAGGCACCGCGCGGATCTGAGCAGGACCTCGCCGTGCCTGGGGGGATGCGATCTGTGAAACTGCAGCCACTTTCGAGGGCTGCTGGTGGGTCCTGCGGAGTGAGGCACCGCGCGGATCTGAGCGAGACCTCGCCGCGCCTGGGGGGCTGCGATCTGCGAAATTGTCGCCACTTTCGAGGGCTGCTGGTGGGTCCTGCGGAGCACGGCGCGGATCTGAGCGAGACCTCGCCGTCCCTGGGGGGCTGCGGTCTGCGAAACTGTCGCCACTTTCGAGGGCTGCTGGTGGGTCCTGCGCAGTGAGGCACCAGCGGATCTGAGCAATACCTCGCCGTTCCTGGGGGGGCTGCGATCTGCGAAACTGTCGCCACTTTCGAGTGCTGCTGGTGGGTCCTGCGGAGTGAGGCACCGCGCGGATCTGAGCAAGACCTCGCCGTGCCTGGGGGGCTGCGATCTGCGAAGTTGTCGCCACTTTCGAGGGCTGCTGGTGGGTCCTGCGGAGCACCGCGCGCATCTGAGCGGGACCTCGCCGTGCCTGGGGGCTGCGATCTGCGAAATTGTCGCCACTTTCGGGGGCTGCTGGTGGGCCCTGCGGAGTGAGGCACCGCGCGGATCTGAGCAAGACCTCGCCGTGCTTGGGGGCTGCGATCTGCGAAATTGTCGCCACTTTCGAGGGCTGCTGGTGGGTCCTGCGGAGTGAGGCACCGCGCGGATCTGAGCAAGACCTCGCCGTGCCTGGGGGGCTGCGATCTGCGAAACTGTCGCCACTTTCGAGGGCTGCTGGTGGGTCCTGCGGAGTGAGGCACCGCGCGGATCTGAGCAAGACCTCGCCGTGCCTGGGGGGCTGCGATCTGCGAAACTGTCGCCACTTTCGAGGGCTGCTGGTGGGTCCTGCGGAGTGAGGCACCGCGCGGATCTGAGCAAGACCTCGCCGTGCCTGGGGCTGCGATCTGCGAAACTGTCGCCATTTCGCTGCTGAAGGCTCTGAGCAGACCTCGCCGTGCCTTTCTTGTCGCTGCTGAGTGAGGCACCGCGCGGATCTGAGACCTCGCCGTGCCTGAGGGGGTGCGATCTGCGGTCGCCACTTTCGAGGGCTGCTGGTGGGTCCTGCGGAGTGAGGCACCGCGCGGATCTAAGCAAGACTTCGCGTGCCTGGGGGGCTGCGATCTGCGAAACTGTCGCCACTTTCGGGGGCTGCTGGTGGGTCCTGCGGAGTGAGCTGAGTGGAGGATGCGGTCGCCACTTTCGAGGGCTGCTGGTGGGTCCTGCGGAGTGAGGCACCGCGCGGATCTGAGCAATACCTCGCCGTGCCTGGGGGGCTGCGATCTGCGAAACTGTCGCCACTTTCGAGGGCTGCTGGTGGGTCTTGCGGAGTGAGGCACCGCGCGGATCTGAGCAAGACCTCGCCGTGCCTGGGGGGGTGCGATCTGCGAAATTGTCGCCACTTTCGAGGGCTGCTGGTGGGTCCTACGGAGTGAGGCACCGCGCGGATCCGAGCGAGACCTCGCCGTGCCTGGGGGGCTGCGATCTGCGAACTTGTCGCCACTTTCGAGGGCTGCTGGTGGGTCCTGCGGAGTGAGGCACCGCGCGGATCTGAGCGGGACCTCGCCGTGCTTGGGGGGCTGCGATCTGCGAAGTTGTCGCCACTTTCGAGGGCTGCTGGTGGGTCCTGCGGAGTGAGGCACCGCGCGGATCTGAGCAAGACCTCGCCGTGCCGGGGGGGCTGCGATCTGCGAAACTGTCGCGACTTTCGAGGGCTGCTGGTGGGTCCTGCGGAGTGAGGCACCGCGCGGATCTGAGCAAGACCTCGCCGTGCCTGGGGGGGGCTTCGATCTGCGAAGCTGTCGCCACTTTCGAGGGCTGCTTGGGGGCCCTGCGGAGTGAGGCACCGCGCGGATCTGAGCAAGACCTCGCCGTGCCTGGGGGGCTGCGATCTGCGAAACAGTCGCCACTTTCGAGGGCTGCTGGTGGGTCCTGCGGAGCGAGGCACCGCGCGGATCTGAGCGGGACCTCGCCGTGCTTGGGGGGCTGCGATCTGCGAAATTGTCGCCACTTTCGAGGGCTGCTGGTGGGTCCTGCGGAGTGAGGCACCGCGCGGATCTGAGCGGGGCCTCGCCGTCATTGGGGGGCTTCGATCTGCGAAACAGTCGCCACTTTTGAAGGCTGGTGGCGGGTTCAGCGGAGGGAGGCACCAGGCAGATCTGAGCGAGACATCGCAATCCTTGGGAGGCTGCGAGCCGCACGAATGCCGCTCGCAGAAGTATATGCGCCCATGTCACGTCATCACCTCCGTATAACGTCTCCCAAGCTTCTCATGCCCCGCATTGCGCAGGGGTTGAGTACGTCGCCAGGGTAATTTGCCTTTCTGGCCTTCCTGGAGGCCCTCTTGGAGGCCTCTTGGGCCGTCTTGGGCCAGCTGCGAGCCGCCTTCGGCCATCTTGGTGGGCTCCTGGCCCCTCTGACGCCGTCGGAAGCCGTTTCGGTGGCCTTTCTGGGCCGACTTGGGGCCCTCTTGGGTGGCTCCAGGGCCGTCTTAGAGGCCATCTTGGGAATCTTCGAGGCCTCTTGGGCTGTCTCGGCGCCCTCTTGGGGTCGTCTTGGGGGCCTCTTGGGCCGTTATGGGGCCATCTTCCAGGCCTCTTGGGCGATCTTTGGGCGACCTTGGCGGCCTCTGGGGCCGTCACGGGCCGTCGGAAAGCCGAAAAGGGGCAAATGCCAAAATCCTTCAAACATCTACGGAACATCAAGGATTTTGGCTTCGTCGGGCCTTCCTGGAGGAACTCTTGGAGGCCTCTTGGGCCGTCTTGGAGGCCTCTTGCGGGCCTTTTGGGCTGTCGCAGACCATCTTGAGGCCGTCTTGGATGCATCTTGGGGCCATCTTAGCCGTCTTGGAGGCCATCTTGGCTCTCTTGGAGGTATCTTGCAGGCCATCTTGGGCCATCTTCGCGATTGTTTGAGGATGTCCCGAGCGAATCGGCCGTTTTTGGCGTTTGCAACCGGGTCTTCCGGTGGCCGGCGGGATGGGCCGGAGCCCCTGGGGGAGTTCTTTTGGAAAAAGAAGAAACCCAAACCGATTGGATTTAACACGCCAGGCATCCCTTCGCTGAAGCAAAAGGGGGCGGCGGATCTAACGAACGGCCTGCGGCCCATCCCGCCACCGTGCCTGGGTTGTGGGTATAAAACCTATGGGATGTTCGTTGGGATCTCGTGGGAGGCCTCTCGGGAGCTTCTTGGAGGCACGTCGGATTCCTCTCTTTGAACCGTTTTGGGGCCTCCTGGGGCCCTTTTGGGGGGCCTCCTTCTTGTAGGCTTCTTGGGGCCTCCTGGGCCCCTCTTGGGGCTTCCTGGGGGCCTCTTGAGGCGGAAGGTCAAGTTTTTTGGTTTGTGTTCCCTCTCTTGGCCCCCTTTTGGGGACGTCCTGGGGGCCTCTTGGGCCGTCTTGGGCGCCTCTTGGGCCGTCTTGGGGCCCTCTTAGGGTGCGTTTTGGAGCCCCCGTGGGGAACTCTTGGGCCATCTCGGGGCGGTCTAGAGGGCCCCTTGCGCCGTCTTGGAGCGTCGAGAAGCCGAAAAGGCGAGAAGGCCCCAATCTTCCAAAATCTTGAGGCACATCAGTGGTTTTAGCCTCTCATGGCTGGGCGGCTTCTTGGAGGCCTATTGGCGTGTCTCAGCGGCCTTTTGGGCCGTCTTGGGGTCATCTTGGACATTTTGGAGCGACCATCGGGCATCTCGATGCAATCTTGCACCGTCTTGGTGGCCCCTTGGGACCCTCTTACAGTCGGGGCCCTGAAGAAGGAACCCTGTTCGTTGGGGAGGGGCTCGGTGTTCCTTGATTGTTCTGCAGTTTGCCTCTTGTTTTCCTGAGGTTTCCCATGGGAAATCGAAGTTCAAGGGGCCCCGTTCCTTCTTTAGGGTTCCTTAGGTTCGGGGATGGACAGAACCCCCTTTTAGCAAAACGTGGTTTAGTGAAAACGACCTCGGGCCCAAATCTGGCGGGCGAAAGCCTGGAAACTGACGGCCACGGCGCCCTCTCGAGAGCCGAAAACGGACAATTCACTAATCGACGTGTCACTATTGGGGGTTCTGTCCAGCCCCGATAGGCCAACGCCCCGAATGTAGCCCGTCCGGAGGCCCGGGGGCCCGCTCGGGCCCGGGGAGGTCCGGCGACAGGGCGCCGCAGGAACCCCACGGGGGGCACGCGGGAAGCCCCGGGAGATCTCGCGGAATTTGGGGCCCAGGCCCCGAAGATCGGCTACGCGCAGAGCTTAGCGGGCCCTGGAAACGACAGGGCCGTTTATTTTTACCGATTCCGTTTTGCCGTTGTTTTGCCGGTTCCGACGCCGTTTTTGTTACCGGTTCCGTTTTGTCTTCTTTTTTTATGCCGGTTCCGACGCCGTTTGTTTTACCGGTCCCGTCGCCGTTTTTTGACCGGTTCGGGCTCCGGTTCCAATCCTGGAGCCGTCTTTTTGCCGTTTCCCGTCGCCGTTCTTTTTTTTTTGCCGTTTCCATTTTCAAGGGGCATTTTTGGGGGAAACGGTGACAAAAACGGCCCTGCCGTTTCCGGGGCCCACACAGGCGCAGAGGGGGGCAGGGGGAGGGGGAAGACTTCTTCGAAGCACCCCTGCGTCTTAGAAGGTGCGGGACCTGGCTGCAGATGTAGGTGCGGGCAATGTCTTTATCAACATCCAGTGCGTCTTGGAGTTTCGAACACTCTTCCCAAGAAACATGAGGCGCACTGGATATGGATTATAATCTGCCTCCAAAAGGCTCAATGTTTCCATATCTAGTGCGCCTCGGCCTTGCGGCGCCCCTTCCAAGAGAGTCCAAGACGCACTGGATATGGCTACGAAGATTGCCCGCAGTAGGGCCCGCGCCTTCTCAGAAGCGGCCGCCTTCTCGTAAGAAGCCGTCCTCCCTGCCCCTGCCCCCCCTCTGTGCGCCACCGAGGAGTCGCTTTCTCAGGCCTGAGGGCGGAGGCTCCAGGGATTAGGCACATGATCCGAGGACACGACATCAGCCCCACATCATCAGGGGTAACTCGGGTCAGGATTAACTCGGGCTCCTTTTTCGGGAATCCCAACCCGAGTTACCCCGGACCCGAGTTACCCCGGATAACTCGGGCGTCCAGAGCCCCACATCATCAGGGGTAACTCGGGTCAGGGTTAACTCGGGTTCCTTTTTCGGGAATCCAAACCCGAGTTACCCCGGACCCGAGTTACCCCGGATAACTCGGGCGTCCAGAGCCCCACATCATCAGGGGTAATTCGGGTCAGGGTTAACTCGGGTTCCTTTTTCGGGAATCCAAACCCGAGTTACCCCGGACCCGAGTTACCCCGGATAATTCGGGCGTCCAGAGCCCCACATCATCAGGGGTAGCTCGGGTCAGGGTTAACTCGGGTTCCTTTTTCGGGAATCCAAACCCGAGTTACCCCGGACCCGAGTTACCCCGGATAATTCGGGCGTCCAGAGCCCCACATCATCAGGGGTAGCTCGGGTCAGGGTTAACTCGGGTTCCTTTTTCGGGAATCCAAACCCGAGTTACCCCGGACCCGAGTTACCCCGGATAACTCGGGCGCCCAACGACACGCCCACTCCTGCCCCCCGGAGGCCCGGTGGCGGATGGTTTTGCAGCTGTTCTTCCCAGAGGTCAGTCGGGCAGGTCTCTCTATTCGGGAGAAGTGTTAGAAAAAAGTCAACACTTTATCGGTGGACGATTTTTCTACTCTCTTGGATCTCTTTGGACTTGTTGCTTTCAATTTTCTGCGACATCCGCCTGTGGGAGGACGTAACCGACCCAACTCTGGAGGACGAGGACGAGGACGGAGAGGAGGCACTGGAGGAGCGAACGGGGGGTGGGGGGCGGCACCAGAGGAGAGGGCCGCTGAGCTCACCCACTCCCCCCCGCCCCACCCGGGGCGAGCTTCGGCCTCGGGGCCCCCGCCGAGAGAGCTTCCCGCGCGCCCCGTCGCCTCCGGCAGGCCTGGGGGGGCTCGGCGGGCACCGCGCGCATGTTGGCGGCGCGCAGAGGGGGGTAGGGGGAGGGGGGAAGTCAGAGCCCCGAATCATCAGGGGTAACTCGGGTCAGGGATAACTCGGGTTCGTCTTTCGGGAATCCAGACCCGAGTTACCCCGGACCTGAGTTACCCCGGATAACGGGGGAAGTCAGAGCCCCGAATCATCAGGGGTAACTCGGGTCAGGGATAACTCGGGTTCGTTTTTCGGGAATCCAGACCCGAGTTACCCCGGACCCGAGGTACCCCGGATCACTCGGGCGCCCAAGGAAGGCTTCTTGGAAGCCCCCCCGGCTTCTCAGAAGGCGCGGGGCCTTCTGTAGAGGCGCAGGGCCGAGGCCCTCTACGAAGCAGGGGCGCTTCTGAGAAGCCTTCCCCCCTCCCCCTAATTACTCCCCCTTAGGCGATGCTTAAGAAAACCTAAGTTTTCGGCCAGAGTCTTGATTATTCTTAACGTTTCAATGTAATTCCCAAGATTTTGATAGAATTGTTGGGTTTTTATTCAAATTCTGAGACTCTGAATTTCTTAACCCATGGTTTCTTAAGCATTTCGCAGGGTGTACTCCCCCTTTTTGCGCGCCGCCAAAGCATGGTGGGCCGCGAGGGGCTGCCGGGGCCCGTGGCCGCGCTCCTGCGGCACCCGCAGGTGCGCGGCGCAGGGAAGCAGGAGGGGAGAAAAACACACACCGAGACACAAGGAATCGTCGAGTCCCCGGAAAATTATAGGAAACTATGGGAAGTGGGGGGGAAGACGAAAACCCAGAAAATATGGGAAAAGATGGGGAATCTTTTTATTTAATCGCTTCGCTCATGCCGCCGGGAGCCAGTGCGGGGGTCAGTGCAAACGGGGGTCAGCCAGGGCGCCGGATCCTGCAGGATCCTGCGAAGGCCCCCTCTGGCCGACCCGGGTTAGGGAGCCGCTCGTGGCCGCGAGGCGGCCGCGCGTACTGGCTGACCCGGGTTTGCGAGGACCTGCGTTGCAGTTTTCTTTTCTTGCACGGCAGTTTTTGGTTTCCTGCTGACCCGGGTCTGGATTGACCCGGGTCAGAGGATCCCCGAATGGGAAGTGGGGTGGGAAGACGAAGACCCAGAACATATGGGGAAAGATGGGGAATCTTTCTATTTGTGCGTATGCATTTGTGTGTCCTGGGGCCCCTTCAAGAGAAACTATGGGTCGGGAGCCTCGAGACGGGGGTCAGTGCAAACGGGGGTCAGCCAGGGCGCCGGATCCTGCAGGATCCTGCGAAGGCCCCCTCTGGCTGACCCGGCTTAGGGAGCCGCTCGTGGCCGCGAGGCGGCCGCGCGTATTGGCTGACCCGGGTTTGCGAGGACCTGCGTTGCAGTTTTTTTTTTTTTCCTGCATTGCAGTTTTTGGTTTCCTGCTGACCCCGGTCTGGATTGACCCGGGTCAGAGGATCCCCGAATGGGAAGTGGGGGGGAAGACGAAAACCCAGAACATATGGGAAAAGATGGGGAATCTTTCTATTTGTGCGTATGTATTTGTGTGTCCTGGGGCCCCATTCAAGAGAAGCGGGCTCGGCTGCGAGGGCGGTGGCGCGCGAGCTGCCCTTTGCGAGAGGTGGCGCGCGGGCGCCCTCGTTTCCAGCGCGGCGTGCCGCGTGGGCTGCCGCGCAGGGTCGCTGCGTCGCCGTGCGGCGGTTCCGCGCGGAGACCTGTCGGAGCGGCGCTCGACCTCTCCCCTTGCCTTGGCATGGCTCGGGCGTGTGCATTTTTCCCTTCGGCGAGGGCCATCGAGGAGGATCCTCGATCCTTGGGCGAAAAAGCCGCGCACGACACCGCAAGAAAGCACAGGGACTCTGGACGTCCGAGCCGTGACCAGTATTGCGCGCGGAGCGCGCCAGGAGGCCCAGCGCGGAGCCACGGCATCCGTTCGGAGCTCCAGGAGGGATGGCGTTTTTTTTGTTTCTCGAGCACAGTGGGGGCCCATGTGAAGAAAGCCGCGCGGAGCTCCAGAAGGGTTGGCGTTGTTGTTTTTCGAGCACGGTGGGGGTGGCCCATGTGAAGAAGCACCCTGCTTGCCTCCGTGGTGCCCTGGGTGTCTTTGGCCTCCTGATAGGCCTCCTACCCTGACACGTCGATTAGCGAATTGGCCGTTTTCGGTTTGCGAGAGGGCGTCGCGGCCATCATTTTTGCGGGTCCAGGTCCGTCGGTTTCGGTCCCAGGCCGTTTTCACCAAGGGGAAGTTTGCTGAAGGGAGGTTTGTCCACCACCGATTCTTCGGTTTTGGATGGCTTTCAGATGGAATGCGTGGCGTGCACGCACCAGACATCGATGGACCTGCTGGGGTCACACTGTCGGGTTTCTTGTGGAAGGTTTCTTGTAGTCGAGCCCCTACTGTAACTACGAACCCCCCTTGTGATCCGACCCTGCGAGAGAAATGCAACATTGCAAGATCACGACGACCAGAGTCCTAGACCTGGGCAGGTGGTTGTTTTTGTCATTCATTGTTTTGCAGATCGGCGCGGACCCCAACACCCCCCCCTCCCCGTCCCCCGCCCCCCATGGAGCAGATCTGGGCTGTGTTTTGGCGCCTGTTTCGAGCGGGTGGAGCCTCCCCCATAATGGACGCTTTGCTGCAAACAGTCGCACTACGCAGAGGGAAGGAGCCAGACCTGATGGCCCTGTTTTCCACCACCGCCACCAGCATACGTTGGAGGGGAGAAGGAGAAGGAGGAGGAGGAGGACGAGGAGGAGGAGGAGGAGGAGGAGGACGAAGAGGAGCAGGAGGAGGACGAAGAGGTGGAGGAGGAGGACGAAGAGGAGGAGGAGGAGGAGGAGGAGGAGGAGAAGGAGGAGGAGGAGGAGGAGGAGGAGGAGGACCCCCTCCCCCTCCAACTCATGGTGGGGGCAAACAGGCCCATCAATACCCCCCCCCTCTCCCCCCCTTGCCGCCCCAAAGCCGAAACGCCGCACAAGAAAAGCCACCCCTGATTTCGGGGCAAGACCCTCTCCCGCGGCCACTCTCCCGCCCGGCCCGCCCGAGTCCGTTCAGCATCGGCCCCCGGACCTCTCCCGGGGTCCACCCCGATCGGGCGCAGAGAACTGTCCACATGCACCGATCCTGACAACGCCCATCCCTGACCCAGGATCCGTGCAGATAACTTCCTGGCCAAGGTAAGAGAGCGCATGCACCGATCCTGGGCTCAGGGCTGGGCCTGGCCAGAATCGGTGTATGTGCTTAGTTCTCTTTCCTCCTCCTGACCCGCTCTTCGGCGCGGATCCAGTCGTGGCCACGAGAAGCTTCCTGGAGGCCGTACAGGGAGGAACAACACGCCAGGGATGGCCGCCGCTGTCTCGACCGGCACCCCTCCGATGGACCCTTTTCTCCCGGGGGGTCGGCGGCGGCGGGCCGGCCTTCTCCTCCTCCTCCTCCTCCTCCTCCTCCTCCTCCTTCTCTTCCTCTCTCACCTTCATTCTCCTCCTCCTCCTCCTCCTCCTCCTGCTCCAAGTCCTCCTCCTGGCCGTCCTTCCTTCCTCCTTCCTCCTCCTCCTCCTCCTCCTCCTCCTCCTTGTCGCTCAGGTGATCTACGTCTCTTTCGGCACCAACGTCGAGCCCCGCCCGCGCACCACGCGCGCGCTGCTGGAGGGCATGGAGCTGCTGGAGCCCGCGGGCTTCCGCTTCCTGTGGGACGCGGCGCAGGCGGACGTGGAGGCTCCCGGGCCGCCCACCGCCGGCGGGGATCGGAGGGCCAAGACTCCAGGCCTCCTCCTCCTCCTCCTCCTCCTCTCCTCCTCCTCCTCCTCCTCCTCCCCTCTCCTCCTCCTCCTCCCCCTCCTCCTCCTCCTCCTCCTCCCCCTCCTCCTCCTCCTCCTCCTCCTCCTCCTCCTCCCCTCCTCCCCCCCCCTCCTCCTCCTCCTCCCCCTCCTACTCCTCCTCCTCCTCCTCCTCCTCCTCCTCCTCCTCCTCCTCCTCCTCCTATGAATGTATCGTGGGGGCTGACTTTAACCTGTCCCCTGAAACCCTTTTGGAAAGTGGTTTTCCTGAGCGTCTTGGGGAGCTCGTTCGTGCTGATTGTGAGGCCACTTGCTTCACGGGGCAAGGAGGGCAGTCCCACATCGATTATTTTGTTGTTTCCCCTGGGGTGGGCAAGGTGGTCAAAGAAATTGCGGCTATCACGTCCACTGTGATTAAGACCCACACCCCTGTTGCTCTCACCCTTTTCCCCAGGGCTGCCCAGTTGCAGGCCTTGCAGTTCCGAAGCCACCCCAAGCTTCCGACCACCAGGCCTGTCGGCCCCTCCGCCGCCCCTCCTGTGTGGGATGATGTTTTGGGGTACGGTCGCCGTGTGCTGGGCTTGGCTCGGGAAGCTAGGGTCGAGGGAGCCTTGAAGGGGATTGACAGACTTTACGCCTGGTTTGCTAAGAGGGCCGAAAAGGAGCTGGGTCTTGTTGGCCAGGTTGATCTTTACTATTACGGCAGTAGGGCCAAGGCACCAGAGCTCCTGTGGGCCCCTGTGTTTAATGCCAAAACTGATCCTGTTAGGTATCCTGAGATGGCGGCCCGTAAGTGGGTCGACAACCGCGTCAGGCAACTATTCGGTCTCTACCAGTCTGGTGATGCTCCGCGCCTCCGAGGTGTTTGGACGGATCCACCGCGTTTCGTGCTTGACGGCATTGGGGTGCACAGGCCGTTGCTCGATGATATTGCTGCCACAGCCTCAGCTGCCAGCTCGATCACAGGAATTGAGCCAGCTGAGGTAGAGTTACTTTGCACTAAGGTGGCGGTCTACGGGGAGGTATGCAGCAGGACTCAGGAGGCGGCAAGGACGGGATGGAGAAATTGGTTGCTGGCTAATATCGACAAAGGCGGGCGTAATGCCCATCTTGCTAGGAAGCCTGCTCCAGGGTGGAAGCCCACCACCACCTTGAGCGCTGGAGGCTTAGTTGTTTCGGACCCCCTTTCCTTGCTCAGGTCGGAGTCGGCCAAGTTCGCTGGCCTCTGGTAGGCCACGAATGAGCCCCCTGGGCGAGGTTTCGAAGGAGTGCAGGATGCGCTCCCTGCCTTGGGGCCAGATTTTATCCGCGGGGTGTCGTCGCGGTACCCAGTTCCGTCTGCTCAGAGTATTGACGGATTCCATATGAAGCACTATAGCTGGCTCTCTGATGATGCCCTCTTAGTGGTGTCCCAGTTTTTTTTTTTGCTAATTGAAATCCTGTCCACCCTCCCCTCCCAACTTAGGATCATTCAGGTTGCCATGTTGTTGAAACCTAATGGAGGGTGGCGCCCAATTGGGTTATTTGTTTCCCTTTTTAGGCTCTGGGGGCGTTGTAGAAGGGTTTATGCGCAGCAATGGGAGATTGCCAACATGAGACCATACTGTGCGGGGTCAAAGTTCGCTGCTGCGTGTGATACTGTCTGGAGACAGGCCTTGCGTTCGGAGGTCGGAACCTCGAGGGGCAAGGTCTCAGCCACAGTGTTTTGGGACACGACCAAGTTTTATGAAACCTTCCAGTTGGATCGCCTGCTCCATCAATGCAGGGTTTACGGATTTCCCATGGTCATAGCCCAGCTCTGTGTGAACACGTATAGGAGTGCCCGTTTTATCAGCATGTCTAGGATGGTTTCAGGACCGCACTACGCCCTGCTGGGTGCCATTGCGGGCTGCAGCTTCGCGACCAGCTTTGTGCGGGTGTACCTCATAGGCTCCTTTGATCGGCTTGAGTTACCTCGCACTGTCACCCTGGACCAATATATTGATGATTCTGGGTTGAACAATATTGGCACAGCTCATGAAGTGACTGCCGACATCAAGGTTGCCTCTGCTAAGTTGTACCAAGCTTTTGTTGGTGAGTTAGGCTGTGATGCATCGCGCGAGAAGGCCAATTTTGTCTGTTCGGACAAGAGTGTCGCTCCGCAGCTCCGCTCCTTTCTCGGCGATCTGGCGGGGCCAGTTGTGGAAAGTGCCACCAATCTTGGAATTGACGATATTGTGGGCCGACCTAGGAGGACTCGCAAGCGGTCCAAGAAGTTCGGGATTCGGATGCAGAGCCTTAAAAAGCAAGCTGGGAAGGCGCGGGCGATTGGAAAATCATTGGGGAGGTACTCTAAGCGGATATTTGTTTCAGGATCTCTCCCTTGCGTAGAATACGGTTCTTGAGTGCATGGCATTTCTGATAAGGAATTGCTTCAGATCCGACAGTCTGCTGGCAAGGTCCTTCGCCCGCAGGCTGCTGAACGGTCACTTACCACTCTCATGATTCTAGAGGACGACCCGTCCTGGAGATGTGCGTCGCCCCGATCCGGAGGTTTTCGAAGGAGGTCTGGGCGGCGCATACCCACTCATATCCATACTTGTTCACTGTCGAGGATATGAGGGCTGCTTGGGAAGTCGGGCACAGGGATGCTGATGTCACGGAGTGGAAAAAGGTTGGTGGGCCTATGGGGGCCTTGAAGTTACCCCTCCAGAGGTTATCTTGGGGCATGAATGGGTTTACGGTATTGGTGAATGATTTTGGGGAAGAAATCGCCTTGACCTGTGCGGCTCCAGCGTTGCTTAAGGAGTTGCTCTTCAGCGCGTGCCTTAGAGCCCTGGAGAGGGAAGCGGCTGTCAAGGCCGGCCTTAGTTGTAGCCGTCTGCGTTTCGATGTCGTGCGAGCGAAGCTCAGATCGAAGCGATCGTCTCCGCTCGCCAGAGGTTGTGTGAAATCTTTGGTCTGTGGGGCGATTTGGACTGCGAGTCGAGCCCAATCGAAAGGATATCAGGTTCCCCACACTAAGTGCGCGCTTTGTGGGGTGGCTGTCGACTCGGAGTTCCGCCGCCTCTGGGAGTGCCAGAGTTGCATGGACGTACGGCTGGAGATTGTTGACCAGTCCGACATCGATCGGGCACTTGCGGCTGAAGGTGATGAAGAAAAGTTGCTGTTTTCTCGGGGTGTTTTCCTCATCATGGAGATGTTCACCCGAGGCCCTCGGCCCCTGGGACGGCTGACCTTCGGTGGACGGACTTATCCAGGGACGACGGGGACTTCCAGGGAAACTTGTTCGTGGATGGCAGCTGCACTAGACACATCAGTCCTGAGCTCCAACGGGCTGGCTGGGGGGTGACTCAGATGAGTGCGGGCGGCGAGGTTGAAGGCAGGCTTATTGGTCCCGTGCCCTACCCCCTTAAGGCCTCCCCCCAGGCTGCTGAGTTTCAGGCCATGGCCATGTGTGCTCTGCAGGTTGTAGGAGAGTCTGATGTGTTTAGTGACTGTCTCAATGCCGTCAAACTATGTAATATGCCAGCCGAGCAGCAGCTGGACTATTTTCGACCCTACGCTGGCATGATGCAGTATGTTCAGCAGGGGGCACAGTTCCTTAGGGTTCACAGAGTTAAGGCTCATTTGGACCCTGAGGCCGAAGGTATCTCTGCGGATGAGAGGTGGAGGCGTCAGGGGAACGCCGCCGCCGACAGGGCTGCCAAAGCTGGTGCTGCCATGCGCCCGACTTGGTCAGAGTTAGAAGAAGAAGTTTTGCAATTTCAATTGAAGGTTTCACATCAGGTTTGCAACCTCGCAGCAGCATTGCTCCCATTATGGCCCCGACTCGACCTCTCAGAGGTCGAGCTGGTCCTTCCCCCTCGTCGTGAGCGCCCTGAGGTTCCCCCCCCCCCCTCCTGGGCACGAATGGGAGTGGCTGCGCGGTTTCTTCTTGTGTAGGAAGTGCAATCAGGTAAGCAGAGGCACGGTAGCCCCGACGGGGGGGGGGTTGTGTCGAGGCTTCCAGGCTTGATGGTGACTCCCTCCGCTCTCTGGGGCATAGTTGTCTCGCCCTGGAGTGCAGTGATGGAGCTCACCTCACGGTTTGTCTTAAGTGCAAATGCTATTCGAGTCATGGCCAAGTGCGGGGGTTGGCCCAAAAGTGTGACCAGCCGCCCCGCCACACTATTGATAATTGGAAATTGATCTGCAAGGGCAGACATCCCAAACGGTTTAAGACCCACGGCATCACAGTGGAAACTGGTCCCTGGTCCGCTCTGTGATTGCTGTGGCCTTTCGGTTTTTCTGTCGTGGTTTTCTGTGGTGCAGGGTGGCCCATTTAGTTTCTTTGCTTGCACGGCCCGATGCGACTGACCCTTGTGGCAGGCATCCGTGCTGAACCCCACATCTGGGGCGAGACTGAGGTCGTCCTGGCGCTGCTTGCACCAGGGGCTTCGGTCCTCGTCGTCCTTGTGTGGGTGGTCGAGTTTTCCCAGTGGCGAGGGTTCGCCTTTCGTTTTTCTCTGCACGGCCCGATGCGGCTGGCCCTTTTGGCAGGCATCAGTGCTTTACCCCACATCTGGGGCGTGACCGTATGTCGTCCTGGCGCTGGCTGCGCCAGGGACTGCGGGCTCGTCGTCCTGTTGTGGGTGGTCGAATCTTCTTCTTTGCTTGGTTGTGTGCAGTTCGTTGTGCGTGCGTCCGTCGTGCACGCGTGTCAGGCACCCCAATCCTGGGGGAAGGCGCATGCACACCTAGGGTGCGCCTCTGCATGTCCGAGCACGGGGGTATCTTTATCCTGACTGTGGCTCGTCTGATGTTGCTGTGGCCTGGAGCTTTGGTTCCGGGCCCCAACATCTTTTTGGTAGGCGTTGGGCGCGCGTCTTCGTGCGTGTGTGCGTTGCTCGTCCCTCCGTCTTGCCCTCCACCTCCTGGAGCCACAGGCTCTTATGGAGGGGCGCTGTCTTGTTCGCAGTCCCTCTTGTTCAGCCGAGGGCAGTCGGCACGAGAGAGCCTTCCAGTTGCAGTTCTCTGCAGTGGGAAGTTTTTGCGCTTACAGCTCTGTGCCGCTGTATAGGCGTGTGAAGGGGACCTGGGGGTTTAACGCTTAGCTGCATTGACCGTCCAGGCCGCTGGAGCACGTGCTTGCAGTGTAAGTCGCTATTTCGTCGGCGGGGGAGGTCCTGCTTACCCGTCGCTGGGGTGAGCAAGGCCGAGCCCGTCCTGGAGGGCAGAGCATTCCTTGCTCGGCCCTCCACCTTCAGCAGCAGCTCCGACAACTGGGCTGCTGAGCGCCAAGGAGCGCCCTCAGACGAGTGCCAGTCGTCTGTTGAAGTCAGGCAGAGGTCCTTGTAAAAAAAATCCTCCTCCTCCTCCTCCTCCTCCTCCTCCTCCTCCCCCTCCTACCTCAACACGTGAGAGATGAAACTGCCAGAAAAGAACTCCTCCCCCTCCTCCCCCTCCTGCTCCTCCTCATCCTCGCGATGTGGTCACCTCGCACTTGTACGTGGCAAATCCATCGTTTGAGCACAATATGAAAACGCACCCTCAGCTACCAGCCCGTTTGCAATCGCCCCGTTTGCAGGGGCTTGGAAGACTCTTGGCCTCCCAGATGGGGTCGGAGGATCGCGCCGCATCGCCGATGCATCGGCGATGCATCAGCGATGCGGCCCGATGTGGGGCACGATGTTCCCTACGCCGACGTTGCCGATGGTTTCTCGTGTTCTCGTTTTCTCTGCCCCTGGGTCGTGGTCTCGTTTTCTCTGACCCTGTCTCGTCTTCTCGTTTCTTGTTTTCTTGGCCCCTGGGTCGTGGTCCAGTTTTCTCGAACGCTGGTTTGTTTTCTCGTTTTCTCGTTTCCTCGGCCCCTGGGTCGTGGTCTCGGTTTCTCGGACCCCGTTTCGTTTTCTCGTTTTCTCGCCCCTTTGACCGTGTTCTCGTTTTCTCGGGCGTTGGTTAGTTTTCACGTTTTCTCTGCCCCTGGTTCGTCTTCTCGTTTTCTCGTTTTCTCGGTCCCTTGGTCGTGGTCTCGTTTTCTCGGACCGATATTTGTGTTTTCTCGGCCTGGGTCGTGGTCTCGTTTTCTCTGACCCTGGTTCGTGGTATCGTTTTCTCGTGTTCTTGGCACC